GTGTCATATTGTTATAGCTTGCCTAGCTCTCGGTTTGCATTGCCTGGGGCAATTAATAAAGCATTAATGACAAGACCCATTTAAAATGTTGGCTTTTCTGTACAGCTTTAGCTTTTACTTGACTGTGCCTGGGGATATTATGCAACAATACATATTAGATTAAAACAACTTCTACACGATATACAGAAACAGCTGGAGAGCAGGTTGATTTTACTGTTGTTATTCCTCACCTATTGTTAAATACAAAGGGTTATTGTTCGTTTCATGGGGCCTTATCAGAAAGAAAACAGAATCTAATATTTTGAATAATATAACATTTCTTGATTCTTGTTTTCTACTAATAAGGTAGGTAAAGGCTACAGTACACCATTAATTGCACTTTAAAAAAAAAAAAAATTTAAAGTGACTGGATCTCCCTTGTGTTTTGATACTGCCACTCATACAAGGGAATGCTGAAGTCAAGGTCACACTGCAATTCTATTTTTTATTTTACTTGACAAAAGAAGATGTAAATTTGCTGTTTTCTTTTTATTCCAAAGCTCCCATTTAGATAAATATGCCAGAAGTCTCAGAAGTGTATGTGGACAAAACATGTTGTTATTATTTAATTTCTAGTTAGAGTAATGAATTCTAAGTTGTATTGCCATCTTAACATTAGGGAGAAACTGCTTTTTAAAGAAAATAAATTAAAATAAAATGCAACCTATTTAATTTTTAATTATGCTCCTCTGGAGATCAATAGTATTTTAAGAACTATCACTGTTGCCTTTGTAAGAAGATTGCGGAACTTTTTGGAAGGAATTCAAGTTAATATCTACTATATTTGAAATGCAGTCATTTCTTCAAATTCGAAGTCCTGACATTTTGATTTTTTCCTTTCAATGAAACCTAGTTTTTTCTGCAATTCCACCAGAATATCTAGGAAAATACCTCCTAGGAGTGAGGCTGAATAAGGGAAGACAGTTGGAAGTGACTGTAATCTTGTCTGGCTTCAGTACGCAGGAGGAGGGCAGTTAAATACATGAAGGCAGATATAAAGGAAGATCTGTGGACAGATGGAGGGATGGTATTCATCTAGGATATACAATTAGCAACAAGATTGTTCCTAAACTAGCAACAGAATCAGTTATCAGGAAAAAACAAACAAACAAACAAACCCCAAAAAACACTGAAATATTTGTATGAAAATACCATGAGTTTTGTGAACCAAGTGGGGTAATTTAAACTTCTGCTGCCAACTCTTTCAAGGATGTGGGAATTACAGAGGGTTAGCAGTGGCATTACAAAATGTATTTGCATTAAAAATACCCAAGTTATTAAAATAAAACAAGTATTAAAAAGATACTCAAATCCAGATACCTTCAGGAAAGGAAGGCAAAAGGTGAAGATTTGGGGTAACTCGGTACTTCAATGTCATTGAGTTTAAAGATGGGACTTTGGCCTAACTTGGATAAAATAGTAACAGTTAAGGGTCAGAGTGGCACTGGGGAAAGACTGTAAAATGATGTATTCTACAATACATTTGGGAGCCTGCTGTAGAGCCTCAGAGCCAGATTTAGGTATATATACAGTTCTATTATGCCATTAGAAAGAGAAATACGACTTGTAACTAAGTCATTACAGAAAATCTAATATGGGAGGCACAGATGAGGTATGTTAGCCAATACATGTTTTCTCCAGATAATCTGGAGAAATCTAACCTGCCTGTTCAGGGATACTTTAGGGATTAAAGGTGCTGTTTAAAATATGTTTTTGTTAATTAATGAAGATACAGGGAAGATGAGCTTATAAATTAACCCTGAAGTGATTTATTATGACTTGATTCGGCTTAAGATAAAAATAGATAAACAAAAGCAGATTTGAAAGCTTTAAAGGATGCCAAAGCAAAAAAAAAAAAACCACCCCCAAAAAGTTTCATAAAAACAAAAAAGAAAAAACTTCATAGAGCAAAAAGAAAAGACTTCATAACTAAACTAAATTAAAAAAGTAAAAAGGAAAGTAGAAATGTGATATTTTTTTTCAAATATTTATTACCAGCATTCAACATATTTCAGCATTAAATTATTTAGTTATATATTGATACAAAGTCAGTACTGCAATGTCTAATGGAGTACGCTTCAGTAGCCTAAACAATATGTGTCACTACATTGCTGATTTTTGTTCAGTTTAGCACAAAAACTAGAAGATCAACAGGATGACAGAAAGCTTATAGTGAGACCAAATCCATATCCTTAGCATTATGACAATTAAAATATCTCATGGCACCTAAATTCCACCTGAAATAATCTGAATAGCTATTCATTTGTTTCAGAGTTCTTACATTCTCGGGGAACACAAGTTGCTTTTTTTTTTCTTCTTTCAATTTTAAATTTGTATTCATATTGGATAAAGCAACTTTTTAGTGCTTTCTTTGCTGGGAACAAGCTAGTGGAAGTATGATTTCGTGGTAGACTTGGCAGTGCTAAGTTAACAGTTGCACTTGATGGTCTTAAGTCTTTTCCAACCAAAATGATTCTATGATTCTATATACCCAAACTGAAGTGAGCCAGAAGAAGACCAGCAAATGGGTTTAGAGAGTTGGGTAGAGGAAGAGAAATGTGTGCGTGTGTGGGGCAATTAATTTCTAGAAAGTTAAGAGATGGTAACATAAATGCTATGAAATATGCACAGATGAAAGGGAAAATAATTGCTTGTAAGGGAACAAAAAGGTAAACCTCCAAGGAAAGAATCAGACTTGAAAAATGCTTACTTAACCAGCAGAGTATGAAAACGTAAAGTGAAATTCAGTATTCTCTGAATTTTAATATCCTCACAAGGGGAAGTAGCAAAACCCTTATTTCTTGAGCTTTTTAGAAGTGTAGACTGGCAAAGCATCAGGGACAATAATGAAATTGCAAGAGGATGCGCTAGTTGACCCTTTAAGCCCTTTCCATTTGTATAGTCTGTGTCTCTTAGAGATAAATCAAGAATGAGTATAGCAGCTAATTGTTGCTGTTTGTTGCTTAAGATCTTAATGAACTGCATTTCTCAATGCCATGATGTCAGGGCCAACTTTTCCCTGAGGCTTCAGAGTCCATTCTGCAGAAGGATGGGAAACTGAACTATTATTAATACTACAGATACCCCATTTTTTCAGATTAGTTGTGGTACCACTTGAAATTCCTTAGAGGCTTTTTCAGAATTTTAATCAAGTTTTCAGGAACTGGAAAAACAGTGAGGTTTGGGGAACCACTGAGAAATCCCCTCAAAATCTCTACTCATTTTGCCTGCTCTCCTAAGAACAGCAACAACTGTCTTGCCAACAAAAGACCTTCAGTTGTGAGTGTGAAACATCAAAAAATTCATGGTCAACTGTCTGGCAACTTTGAATATTTATCTAGCAGTTCTGTGAGAAAGTAGATAATGTGCAAAAGAGACGATGTATGGAAGTTGCATGTATACATTGTTCTCTGTCAAAGTGTTCTGTATGTTTGTGCAGCCTCCTCTGGCTGCACACTCAGTTATAAATTGGGGTCTTTGGCAGTATGGATTACCATGGGATACACATGCTGTAAATTGTTTTCCTACGCTAAAGATTTTTTAACTCTTTATAGCAAATATCAGGAGCATGGAGTATGGGCTATTCATCAAAGTAGCAAACTTTGAAAACTGTTAAGAATAGCAAGTGTTCATTATTCATGTATTCCTTATATTTGAAATTCATCTGAGCTGCTTTAAGCACATTTAATCTCTGATCTCACTAATTCATTAATTACTGTGGCACAGGCTATGAAATAATTTTAAAACAGCATGTGTAATGAATTAATCTGACATTTCTAAAATGCTGTGTATTGTAAGAAGGCCACAATTTTTGCTTTCAAGTCCTGTATTAAATAATAATATGCATTGCCTTAATTCCTTATTAAAAAGATCTAATTTTTAAAAATCCTTTAAAATAATTTTTTAGGAAAGTAAAATCTGTGTTATGATTTTTTGTCCTCAGCTTTTTTTAAAGAAAGGACTATGAGGTGCTTTATTCTGAAGTACTTTAGTCACTTCTGAAACAGGTCAGTTTTAACTAGTAAATTGAGATTTTTAGGCAATGGAGACACTTCCTTCAACAGTGTTTTGCAGTCTCAGTGTAGTTTTAAAGGAAACATCCAAACCACTTTAAAGAAATTCTGCAATGAAATTTAAAAAATAAATAC